GAGAGTCGCGTTTTGAGAAAACCTACCTAGCCTAGCCGTTTTTAGAACGCCCACTAGTAGGTGGCGGGTACTAATACCCGTTTTTCAGGGTAACCGGGTCGGGTATACCCGGACCCGCCACGCGGGTATTGTATTACCCGCCCCCTAAGGCCGGGTCCGGGTAAGGGTCCTGGGCATATTACCCGACCCGGACCCGACCCGAAAATACCCGACCCGAGGTCGGGTATTGCAAAACCGGGTCGGGTCGGGTAATTACCCGGTTTTGTTCAACCCTAGGTTTGAGTGGTGCTCCCCGGAGGATCTTCCTGCTTCGTATGGCGCACTTGGCAGGCAGGCATTTCCGATTTCCACAGGCTCAACAGATGTGACAAGAGGCGAGAGTGTCTCTTAGTATGCCGTCTCCTCTGTATGAGCGATGGCGCATGGCGCATGTTGCGTGATGTGCATGCGTGCTGCCCTTCCCCAGTCTGCTGCAGTACAATCTCCTGAGCGGCACCATCCCAGCGTCACTGGCGTCGCTGCACAAGCTCAAATACCTGTAATCTGCCCCCATTGATTCTGCAACACCATGCACACCATGCTCGTTCAACATGCACACCATGCTCGTTCCACATGCACACCGTGCTCGTTCGACATGCACACCATGCTCGTTCAACATGCTCATTCAACATGCTTGCCAAGGTGCAAAAATACGGCAACCAAAAAAAACGGGCCGTATTAAACGGCCGTTTTTTTCGGTGATTTGAGGAAATATACGCCGATTTTTTAATAGACGAAAATGTGCCTAAAAAAAAAACCTCTTCTGACCAGTAAACAGGTGGGGAGAACTGCCATGGGCTTTCTAACGTCAAAACAGCATCAAAATGCGGCTACAGATAGAAATGCCTCTACATTCGATAAGTCTACATCCCCCTCCTCCAAAGCCCCCCCCCCCCTTCCTCCTCCTCCTCCTCCTACAGGTGTCTACCTCCCCATCCTCATCCTAAGCCTCCCCCTCCTCCTCCTAAACCTCCCCCTAATCCTCCTAGGCTTCCTCGTGAGCCTCCCCGCCCTAATCCTCCTAAGCCTTCCCTACTCCTCCAAGTGTCTACTCCTCCTCCTCCTCCTCCTCTTCCTCCTCAGCCCCCTCCTCCTCAACCCTAAAATGTTGAGCGAACAATTTCCCAACAGCGCGAGCAAACCCAACCACATAACAAGACCTCGATTGGCAATTATAAACCTAGTACACCTCCCATAAAAAAAAAACGACCGTATAATACGACAGTTTTTTTACACACACATAAAAACGCACCCAAGACCGCTTTTTTCCGTATTAAACGGTCGTATATTTCAGTACAGTATGATACGGGCTAAAAAGGAAAAATACGCCCTTTTTTTGTACCTTGATGCTCGCCATGCTCATTCAACATGCTCGCCATGCTCGTTCAACATGCTCATTCAACATGCTCGCCATGCTCGTTCAGCATGCTCATTCAACATGCTCGCCATGCTCATTCAACATGCACGCCATGCTCGTTCAACATGCACGCCTTGCTCGTTCAACATGCACGCCTTGCTCGTTTAACATGCACGCCATGCTCCTTCAACATGCACGCCATGCTCGTTCAACATGCACGCCATGCTCGTTCAACATGCATGCCATGCTCGTTCAACATGCACGCCATGCTCGTTCAACATGCACACGCCATGCTCGTTCAACATGCACGCCATGCTCGTTCAACATGCACGCCATGCTCGTTCAACATGCACGCCATGCTCGTTCAACATGCACGCCATGCTTGTTCAACATGCACGCCATGCTCGTTCAACATGCACGCCATGCTCGCTCAACATGCACGCCATGCTTGTTCAACATGCACGCCATGCTCGTTCAACATGCACGCCATGCTCGTTCAACATGCACGCCATGCTCGTTCAGGTTGCTCTCTGTCAACCATCTCTCGGGAAGCATACCTGCTGGGTTGGGCGATCTGCCTCTTCTGCACTACATGTGAGCCACGTGCAGCCATTGGTTTTGTCAACATTCCCAGCAGCAGTATTTTGAGGTTATGATGGGAGGAGCGCGGAAGCCTGTGTTTTCACCTCACCTGCCAGCCTACATCCCCTGGGCCGGCTTGGGCACCCAGCCAGGGTCTGGCCTGACAGCCATGTGCGTCATTCACACATGGGGTTCCCAGTGGAACTTTGACTGGTGCAGGGTGGATGATTGCTCGGATTTGGGGAAGAGGCGAATGTATCAATTAGGCAATAACGGCTCATGGCTTGAAGTACATCGATCTTTACACAAAGACTAGCTTCCTTTTCAACGTCTTGACCCATTCAGTCAAGAGAGCTCTAGCTTGACCGGATCGCATGCGTGCACTCTGCCATTCTCAGCTGTGTGCTTCTGTTTGGTTGCACGTTCACAATGGCAGGTGGTTGTCTTTCAACCAGATGTCTGGATCAATCCCTACGGCCATTGCGAAACTCACCAACCTTCATTCCTTGTGTGTATGGAGGGCTCGAACCATGCACGCATCGAACTATGGCGAGCATTGAAAATCTTGTGACTGGAACCGATGACAATGCATCTGACGCATTCCTGGTGCTGAGCCTATGCGGCAACATATTTCTTAAGGAGTTGCTGGGGCATGTGCTGACTCTGTGAAGCATGTCTGGGTGGTGCACGTAACAAGCAGGGACCTGTCAGGCAATCATCTGCATGGGATCATCCCCAGCACCCTCCAGAACCTCTCCAAGCTCCAATTTCTGTATGTTCCCTTGACCAATGTTCTTTAGGGCTGATTGGAATTAGACCCATGCATCTTTGGTTTTTTGCTCAATGCCTTGCTTCAGTTTCTGCCTCGTATTCCTTTATTGTGCTTTATACCTTCGCCTATGCCAGCTCTCGACTTCCCTGCGTTTTGCATCTCCATTTTTCAACATCGAGTTTGAACAAAACGAGTCATGGTTCGTTGACTTCCACCGCTTCTTTGCACTTTATTGCTCTCTTGCCTACGTGTTTGCCTCAATGTGCTTCTCTCAGTGGACTGTCGTTCAACCAGCTCCAGGGCCCGGTGGAGCCTGTCATGCGAGGCATGGCCAACATCACTTACCTGTGGGTACCACACGTGGTTTCTCACCTGCAGCTTGAAAACCGTTAACCCTTGTCTTTGCAACAACTCTGCCGTCATATCATCTTGTTTGGACGTCTGTGCCTCATGGTCGCTGCACCAGGTACCTGACCAGCAACCAGTTCAGTGGGCGACTGCCCAGCCCGCCGTCAGCAGGCATCAAGTCGTACAAGGTGGAGGGCAACTTCTTCTCGCACGGGCAGGTCAATTTCAGCAACTGCTCTGCCGTCACATGGACCACCCTTGACAACTGCCTCTCTCCTTACCTGGGCATTTGCGGCCTCGTTTACCCCCAGAGATCTGCTGGAGGGTGTGCTGCATTCTGTGGGGTGGAGGTTGGTGCGACGAGCCCAGTGTGTGGGGGGCATGGCTCCTGCTTTGTCAATGCTTTCACAGGATCAGCGGAGTGTGCATGCGATCCCAACTACATGCTCAACAGCAGCAACGGCAATGCCTGTGTGCCTGGAGGTGAGCCTCTTCTCTTCATTGGGTGCCCTTGCACATGTATATCCATGCTTTTCTTTGACATCTAGCTGTAAATATATTCAGGATGCTGACAGATGCCTCGCTTTCTCATGCCTCTGCTCCCCTTGACTGCAGCTGCCCGGACCTCTCTGGCATCCGACTCTGCCTATGTCTCTCTTCGGGGCTCTGCCTCTGTGCTTTCCAACGGCTCCATTCTGCTCACAAATGGCGCTGCCAACCAGCAGGGTGCAGCGTTTGGCTCACCTGCCGTGCGCCTCTTCTATTTCCCCGACAAGCGGTCGCGCTGCGGAACGGAGCTGGGCTTCCTTGCTGCCTTCAGCTTTGCCATGAGTCCCGGGGGCCAGGGGGGGGGAGGGGAGGGGCTTGCGTTTGTGGTGGCAGCAACTGCTTCCGAAAAGGGGGCGAGTGTGGGGCTGGGAGGGGTGGGGCGGCGGAGTGTGGGGGTGGAGTTTGACTCGGTGCTGAGTGTGAAGCACAGCGACCCCAACGACAACCACGTGGGCGTCAATGTGGGCGGCTCACCTGTGTCCCTCGCCTCTGCCACGGCCCCTCTCATCCTCAACGACGCCCAAACCAAGCACGCCTGGATCCACTACGACCCCACCAGCGGCGGCACTCTCCGAGTCTTCCTCTCCTCCGACCCCGTGCAGCCCCCCACCCCCACCCTCACAGCGAGTGTGTCCCTCTGCTCTGCTCTCAAGCCCACTGCATCCGACTCTCTCTTCCTCTTCGGCTTTGTTGCTCTCTCGAGCACCGCGCCCCAAAAACATGCCATTTTGTCCTGGGATTTCACCACAGGTATGCTGCCTTGTTCCAGACCCAGCTCTATTTCCATGACTCGCTTTTTTTCAATCATACAGTTTAGGTGTCCACTGTCACTTTGCCTTTCAAGCTCTCTTGTTCTAACATGTCAGTGAACTTTCCGCTGTTGTTTTTGTGAGCAGGTGTTCCACCTGTAGGGCAATAGCATCGTATTGGAAAGGGTATTGCATTGTTCGTGGTTAAATGTTATTAAAACCAGACTAGAATAGCACACCCTGGGCGCTCTTAAAAACTCTTTTTTCGGGGGTCAGAAAAAATAATGGCCCGGCCTGGAGAACTTTCCACCGAACGAAGCGAAAAATACCGTAATCCCCCGTATATAACACCCGCCGAAATAGTCACTCCGCGGGTGGTTTATGCGGGGGAGAGCTTATGATAGGGTGAATTTAGGAGAGCACCCGCTTTTCGGGGGCTGCATTTTACATAACACCCTCCTCGTTTTATGCAGCAAAGAAATGAGAAATTTTTTTGTAGTAAAAAATTTACAGATTGTGATTCGACTAGAAAAGGAGTTTGCTGTAAAGGAGACAAACTCCTTCATCTATCGGCAGGTCTTTCAGACCTGCCACCTAGTCTCATTTGCATTTTTCTGTTCCAACTTGTATACCACCAGCACACTCTAAACCTCTATGCCCAGATCTGGGCATAGAAGTCTCTTGCTGCAAGACGTTATTTCTGTTAGATACTCTACAATGGTTAGCGGACTCATTTCCGCTGCAAGTGGTAGGCCTCCTGCTCCTCGTGTGAATACTAGGAGTGGTGGAAGGCGTGGGTCCCCTGTACGTGAGGGGGACCGAAACTCTTCATCTCAGCATAGAGAACGATCTCGTTCTCCTCGTCCTGGCGGAGGTAACGGCGCAGTTACCGCTTTGGATTTGCTGAGTGGCGCGCGTCAAGACCCTGTTCAGCACGTCGAAAACGCGGCAGGGGACGCGGATCGTAACACGTCACGCAATCGCGATTTCCCCCCCGGATTTCAAGGCGAGCGGCGTAACGAGCAGAACCGCGTCGACACGAACCCGACTGCCGAAAACGCCCCCTCCCGGCCCCCACCTACCGAACGCAATCATGACGGTCCTGCGCGCGAGGACCACAATCATGATCGTGATACTGCGCGCGCAGGACGTCATCATGAGCGCGATCTCAACGCCCCAGCGCCCCAGATTCGCCAGGATCGCCAGGATCGGGACCGGGATCGCGCAGATCGCCGCACAGATTTTGCTCCTGCCGCAGTGAATCCGCGCGGGATTCCGCAGATCTCGACCCCTGGAGCAGCAGAAATCGCCGAAATGATTGCGCGCCTGGATCCTGCAGCCCAGCGCAATCTCCAGCGAATCTTCACAGGAGCTGCTGGCGAACGCGTTACAGCACGCTCCACTGCATCTACAGCGCCTCATTCTGCAGAACATAATTCTGCTCGCTACACCGACAACAATGTTAACGCCGGCACCAACAACGAGGCCATTCACCACGTTCTTGGTCTTCTCGCGGCGCTCCAGCGTGGCAATGGCGCCGATCCCGCACCGCCACCGGAACCAGCACGCGTCGCAGCGACGGTGGCCCCACGCTCTCGCCTCCCGGCGCCCGCCCCCGAGCCCGTTGACGACGAAATGGACGAGGAAGCACCCCATGCCACGCTCGACGAAGGTAATGCCGCCCGCCCGAAATCCGCTTCTGCATCGCTCACCCTCGCTCCTATTCCACCTGCACGTCCTCAGTTGCGCTCTTCCTTAGTTAAAAGCGATGGAATTCGTACGCAACTTTTTAGTTTTGAGCGCATTCAAGCTATTGCACGTCATGCTATCTCGGTTTTACCACTTGACGGTGGAGAACAAGCCGCCGACTATCTCCAGCAGATAGTAGAGGAGGCGGAAGAGAAGATTCATTTTTTGTTTACCGCCGATCAACGCGGTTTCGAAGTGGCCAATATGGCCCTTAAGATTAAGTATGGGGAAGTGGTAGAGGATAAGAATGTGAAGGCCGCTTCTCAGATTGTAGCGGCCAGCAAGAAGAGGCCCACTCGGCCCACCCATCCCACCTCCCGTCCTGAACCCCCTCTTCGCCCTCGCGGCCAAGGGGAGCGCCTTTGGAACACATGGCGTAGGGACGGCGACGGCCGTTGTTTCTATTGCCGTGAACCCGGGCATGGGATGGCTAATTGCCCCCAAAGGGGCCAAGGGGCCAATCGGCCAGCTAAGATTGTGTAAAGTTTGCTTAACCTCTCCGATGTTGTAGCGTTCTTAATTAAAAAAAAAAAAAAAACACACACACGCACATTTGTGCATTCAAGCAAGATTAATACGCGCGTCATACGGCCACATGGTCTTGCACGTTGGGCCCGTGCAAGAAGACGTGAGCGTGCCCACAAGACGCATACACAATGTGTGTGCGTCCTTTAAAGACTGACGTTGATAAGATTCATCACAAGATTTCTATGTCCATCGCAAAAAAAAAAAAAAAAAAAAAAACCGTATGCTCGCAAAACGATTGCGTAGCATTTGCGCAAATGCTTTGCAAACGTTTTGCGAACATGTGGGTGAACACTCCTGGCAGACTAAGATTAGAACACTTGGCAAATGCTTTGGCAACATTTCCCGAAACACTTTTTGGTTCACGACAAGGAATATATGACGACCAACTACAGCCCAAAATGCCAAGTTCACATTCCCAACCCATAGTTTATCACTTAAGGGATGACGTGGCCGAATAATAGCGAGCAAGCGGGCACCTATATCTAGCGTTTGCCTTCCTTCCAAAAAAAAATAAAATAAAAAAAATCGTTGCGTTCGGAACTACATGAGGTACCTTCCTGATTCTCTACCGTCCCTATTTGTGTTCCCTCTCCTACCAGAGCTCGGAACCATTTCGGCCTATGCCGATGACGCAACCAAGATTACCCGCATGCAAGGCCGCCTCCGTGACCGCGCTGCATGGTGGTCCGCCTGGTGCGACAGCCGCTTGATTCTATCGGTGATTACATCTGGATATCGCCTACCATGGGTTGCCTCTGAGCCCCCTCCGTCTCGTACTAAGAACCATGCCGGTGCTTTGCAATTCACCTCTTTCGCCGTAGGCGCAGTGGCCGAGCTTCTCGCCACCGGCGCAGCTCGGGTCGTTCCTCCTTCCACAACCCTCACATGCGTTAGCCCCTTAAACGTGATTGTCCAACCCTCAAAAAAGAGACTGATATTGGATTTGCGGCATGTCAACTCATTCCTCTCAGTACCTCGTTTTCGATACGAAGGACTTACTCGCGTTCCTGATTTGGTGCAAGAAGGCGATTGGCTATTCACGATCGATCTCAAATCTGGATACCACCACGTCGACATTCACCCCGCTTTCTGGCAGTTTCTCGGATTCTCCTTGCAAGGGCAGGACTACCAATTCCTCTCTTTGCCTTTCGGGCTGGCTACAGCGCCGTTTGTGTTTACCCAGTTAATTAAGCAACTCGCCAAACGCTGGCGTAGCCGTGGCATCCGCCTTATTCCATACGTCGATGATATCCTATTCATCAGTGCCACTCGAGCGGAGGCTCTTCACAACCGCTCCATAATCATTGCCGACCTCGCAGCCGCGGGCTTTGTTGTGAATTTCAAAAAATCACAACTCGCACCGGCACAATCTTTGAAGTTCTTGGGCCTCTTGCTGGACACGCGCACCACCACTTTCTCGGTCGATGCGGATCGGCGCAACCGGCTTTTTGCCGAGCTGGATGAATTAGGCACACTCGGCATTAACGGGCGTCGCATCCCTGTTCGCCGCGCTGCCCGCATCACCGGCATGTTGGCCTCCATGTCCTTGGCGCTTGGCACTGTCGCGCGCGCTTTCTCCCACCACCTTCTTACGCAGATCGCCGAATGCCACTCATGGGGGGCGGCCATTCTCCTCACCCCTGAGTCTGTTGAAGAACTGCGATTTTGGCTTACACAGTTCGACGTTTTCAACGGCGCCCGCTTCCACAACCCGCATTTGTACGACGTGGTCATGTACGTGGATGCTAGCGACCATGCTTGGGGGGCTTGTTATTCAGCGCCGGATGGTCGTGTCGGCTCGCTCTCCTCCCCGCTGCCTCTAGCCCTCTTGGGCTCGTCCAGTACCCTTCGCGAGCTGGCCGGAATCTTTTGGTCCCTTTCGGCCTTTTCTGTCGAAATCCGACGTTCGCACATCTTGCTCCGCAGCGACAGTCAGGCGGCCTACTACATCCTCCAGAAGGGAGGCTCTCGCCGTCCCGAGCTTACCTTCGTATGCCGCGCGATTATTCAATTGTGCGTGCGCCATATGATCCGTCTTACGGTCCAATGGATTCCCCGTGCGCTGAATACCGAGGCTGACGCTCTGTCCAAGATTGAGCTCCACGACGACTACTCCTTGACACGACCTTGGTTCCGGCTGCTTGAGAGGCATTGGGGGCCTCATACTATCGACTTGTTCGCATCCCCTGCCAATGCGCAGCTCGCTCATTTCTGCTCCCTCGAGTTCTCACACTCTGCGGTTGCGCAAGACGCTTTTTCTATCAATTGGGGCCACGAGAATTGCTTCGCCTTTCCTCCACCCACCCTCATCCCGGCTGTCCTAGCTCATGCCCGTCGCTCGCGCACTTCTCTCACTCTCGTGATCCCATATTGGCCCAGTGCCTTTTGGTGGCCTTTGCTAAGCTTGGACGGCTCCACTTGGGGCCCGGAGGTCGTTATGGCCCTTCGCCTTACCCTTGGTGCTAGTTGTTTACGCGTTGGCAGTGACCGTCATGCCTTTAGCGGTGCTGGTCTTCCGAACTCTCCGATGTATGCGCTTCGTTTTGCATTCAACTAATGTATCAATTTATTTCACTGCGCAGGCTCATATATTGGTCGATTATTGTCGGACCTTCTCACACTCACCGTTGATCTTCGGGCGAAGTCTACCCTTCGCACTTACGAACCCTACTGGCGACAGTTTCGAGCCTTCTGTTTGGCGCACTCACTTCCCTTCCTTCCCGCCACCGACCTGACAGCGTCCCTCTTTCTGCTGCACTCGGTCCGTCGCGGCGCTACTGTCTCAGCTGTGCGCACTGCGTGTTCCGCCATATCCTGCGCCCATTGGCTGGTTGGCCACCCCTCCCCGATTCGCGGCCCCTTTTCTTCGCAAGTCAAGGATTATGCCATGCGTCATTGTGGCAAGCCATCTCAAGCTAAGGAGCCCATTCCTCCAGCCAAGATTTACGATATCTGTGACATCTACTTCTCATCGCATGATCCGGCCACATTCCAGCGGGGCCTTATTCCCCTCCTCATGTTCGCAGCCTTCCTTCGTTTCTCTGATCTCGTCTCCCTCCAGTGGCACCAGATCGAGTTCGATCGGGACTGCATGTGGTTGTTCATCCCTCGTTCGAAGACCGACCAAGCTGGCACCGGTGTTTGGGTCCCAGTGGCTGCTTCTTCTGCCCGCCACTGTCCGGTGTCGCGTGTCCAACAATTCCTCTTCCTGGCTGGCTATTCTCCGCGGACCCTTGGCCCCCTTATTCGTATATTTCAGCCGGGTGCCCGAGCTTCCCCCTCAGATCGCTCTCCCTCGTACGCCGCCATTCGGGGTTGGTGTCGAGATGCTTTCTCCCGTGTAGGCCTTAACCCGGCCCTCCTGGGCACCCATTCTTTCCGCAAGGCGGCTGCGACGGTCGCCGTTGATATTGGAGTCCCCGACCGGCTTTTCAAGGCCCTAGGTCGCTGGCGAAGTGATACAGCCAAGGAGCTTTACATGACGACTGCACTGCACACTCCTCTGAGGTCGTGTCACAATCAGTATTTCGTAGTTTTTCAAGCTCAGCTCGATTGAAAACAAAAATCGAACAGGATGAAAAACGCAATGTCAACTACCATTAGCAGAGAAAAACGGGCAGAAACATCAACACAAGTTGCAGCGCGAAATCGAAACGTCAGCAAAGGACGAGACGGGAGGATTTCGACCGTTGAATTCGCGGATTCTGTTGTGATTTGACGGTCAGAATCCTCCCAAGCGAAATCCACCCGTCGAAGTCGCGGATTCTGTCGCGATCATGACGGTCGCAGGTGCCGCACAAACCTGGCCCTGACTACAGCACTCAGCAGGGATTGGCCAACGACGATTGGTTTGTGAGTTTCGTCGTAGCGGATGCGGTACCTCGCTAACAGTCGCTCTGCGCATTATTGAACACACATGGCCTAAAACACTCAAATTCAAATTGCATTTTACATAACACATGGGCACTATATTTTTCCGGGCCACTGTTAACACCCAGTCCATTTTTTAGTGAATTTTTATATACACCATAGGGTGTTATATACGGGGGATTACGGTAAAAGTGGATTGCGACGGATCGAAACATCGCGAGACGACTCACCCTGCTGGTACATGACTTCGGTGGAACACACAGTGCGACAAGCCCAACGGTCGCACAACTCAACCAAAGTGCACTCCGTGCGACCACACCCCACCACATCCCGTCGTTCAAGAGCTCCATAGGTGTGCAAAAGGTTTCCAGAAGTCGATGATCTCATCGTAAATCACTCGTAGGAAGCCATAGCTACCCCGTAATCCCCCGGATATAACACCCCGGGTATAGTACAAAATTCATGCAAAATCAGGGGGGTGGGTGCTCTATTTTGCGTTTAGGCTATAGCACCCTGGTGTTATATTTGAGGACATAATTTTTAAGATGTGCATTAGATTCGGTGCGTCATGGCGATTTCCGCCATTCAAATTCCGGCTGAAAGGGCGTACGTTTTCTCGAGGTCCGGAATAGCCCCGGATTGCCCACTTGCTCACGAATTTCAGGTTTGTGTCAAGTTAGTGAAGCGAGATTGGGGGGTTGGCGACACTCGCAATGGACTGGACGAAAATTGCGACGCTCATCAGCCAATCAGCACAGGTCTGTCGCACAATTGAAACAAAAATTGTCGGCCCACTACGCTTTTCCAGGTGAAGATTTGTTTCACTTTGTCATTTTCAGTACCAGAGAACCTCGTCAAGTGCCTCGGAAAAAATCAACTTTTGCGTCCTGGTTGTAATCAGCATGAAATAGCATGAAAAAACTGCATTTGTTGTTGGTATTGTTAGGGGTAGAAGGGTTCGAATGTAATGGGGGGGTGCTCTCCTGGAACCCTAAAAAAGAGGGTGTATAATTGCGGATTCTTCAATATAACACCCTCCCCGGATATAACACCAGGGGGTGCTTAATTTCGGCGGGTGTTATATCCGGGGGATTATGGTACCATCGCAAAAAATGTATGCTCGCAAAACGATTGCGTAGCATTCGCGCAAATGCTTTGCAAACGTTTTGCGAACATGTGGGTGAAAATTCATGGCGGACTTAGATTAGAACACTTGGCGAATGCTTTGACAACATTTCCCGAAACACTTTTTGGTTCACGACAGCGAATGCTTAGAGGTGTCTTTTCGGTAATCTCCGTGGTTCGTTTACAAATGCATGGCGGTGTTCTTTCTACAACTTCTACAGTAAACATGTAAATGCATACAGAAGTTTATGCTCACCATTTTTAGTATTCAGCATGATTTGTTGCAAACGTTTGGCGGTGTTTTTCATGGATCCGTTTTTGCAGGCTGCAGTACCCTTTTGGGCATGGTTCAGTACAATGAGGGCATGCCTCGTTTGGATTTACTTATAATGCAACAAGCAAATTATTTGATATATTAAAAAAAACATCTACACCACAGTACACAACCACTATGGCCCAACCGCCCTTGCCTACCAGCACCCCTATGTGGGTCCCGCACTAACACAAAGAGAAACTGAGCGGCGGCACACCAGGAGCACCAATTCTTGAAACTGGATTGGAATTCCTGCACGTTACGTTCAGAACTTGTTATCTCGAAATTAATCCAAGGTCGAAATCACCAACAATAAGGACAATGCTTACAACAACGAAGTAGCGCGACGCTGGATATTGAGTCCTGCACATTAGGTTCAAACATTGTAATCAAATTAGTTATATTCCATACGACAGCAATTACAAAAGCCAGCTTACCGGAGGAAATAGCTCGTGGTAGGCTACAAATTTCTGCACGTCATATGAGACATTGTTGTGAAATTAGTCCGACGATCAAATGACCAGCGAGACTTACAATTGGACTTACATGGGGAATTATCTCGATATTGGACAGAGTTACATAGCTAGCTGCGATAAAGACAAGCATCGTAAGGACACATGTGAATCATTAGTTTGATTCATACGTCAAGTAACAAATGCCTTCATACCCCCATGGCGTGCTGTGTGTGCCCGTATCGTGCGTGCATGGCGCCCTCCACCAGCAGCCCCGCCTGGAATCGCCCCGCCCACCACTCCGACGCCGGGCGACTACCCATCGCTGTCACGCCCGCACTGCTTGGAGAGAGGAGGGGGTGGCAGGGGGCGGAAGCGGGAGGGTGGAGTGACGGTGTGCGCAAGAGTCGGGGAAGAGCGCACAAGACACGGAAGAACAGAATGGAGGCTGCACTCCTCGTGGCGGCTGCACTCCTCGTGGCGGCTGCACTCCTCGTGGTGGCTACACTCCTCGTGGCCGCCTCACCATGAGGGCCACGCGTGCACAGCACACTCA